ATATTAGTAAATTCAGAATTATTAGCTAAAACGTAAATTGCCCTAATTTGTCAGATAATCAAAAATGCCGGTGATCCACGCGGAGGGTACGCTTTCCTGAAGGTAGCGGCGACGAACGGCGACGATATTTTTCTGAATAGTGAACCTTTATTAGTTACGAAAAGCCCCCTTTTCAACAGGCGCGTTTTATTAATTACTTCATGTCACAAAGTTAATTTATACAGGCAAAACTTTATTTTAAGGAAATAGTTTCACGAAATGAACGAGAGTAAAATATTAGTCGGCACAAATATAAGGCATACAACAATGAGTCATGTTATGGATCATGTTATGGGCCATGTCGGATTATAATGGCATACCTTGATGCAAAACAGTCTATCGTTTCTTCCACCGCGAGTCCCTTTATTTAATGTAATGTATTACTCATTACCCGTTTCATTTGACACTCTCTCTTTTTATCTCCCTTCCCCTTTCTCTTGTTAGAAGGAGGGTACATAATTAAGCACTCAAAATCTGCACCACCAATCTTCAGAAAAACAGAAGTCAACGAACCAGTGGGCTGATCCACAACATCTGACACAGCAGAATGAATCAAATAACAGCTAGCACAAATTTATATGCAGTTAGCTATAGTGTCACTACATACATAATCAGCTGCACGCGCGAAGCTGTTGAACAAAAGGATAGTTCGCTACGGGAGACCGTTTGTTTACATAAGTACTCTAAGGGGGCGTGGCTACCCAGGCGACCAAGGGATTAGGCTAGTTACTATATGCCGTCAACAATCGTTTAGCGACCCTATCATTATACACTCTCTCTATTGTATTTTCCACCGCATTAATCGCAGTGTAATCTTCAAATGGTCCACGGGGTAAATGTACACATTCTTAATCCGAGTACGGTACTCCACTTGCTCGCCTCCATTGTCTTGTAAAAGTGACAAAGAATGTGTTGTATTCACACACTAGTTGAAAGAACTTTGCATAACTCCTTTGCCTTGTTGCATAATGTCTTTTTAAAGGTTATAATCAGTGTGAAGAGGGTGTCTTGCCTCACTTAAAAAGGGAGTTGTTCTTCATACTGGTTGTTGCTTAATTTATGCTAACCTATTTTGCTTCTTTTAATTTCGAAATGAATTGCTTTTAAGTCAAAAGAGTCCCTTAACCCTTTTAGGACTCACTGTCATTGTACAACATGTTGTAATCGATATTTAAAAAAATATATTTTTGTACTATGCTTTTCAGTGTTCATCCTGGTGCTTTCATCGGGGATACCACAGGTTGAGGTTACAATTACGTCGCTCGCCTAAATCCAAACGGTACTGGAACATATTTAAGGTCAAATTAAGCTTTGGAAAGTCCCTATTGTTACACACCATAGATACCTAATTTTGTCTTGAGTGAAAAAAAATTCTAAATTGCTGTCAACGTGACTGGCTTAAATGTCTGTCACGCCTAGTAGAGGTGTTACGGGCTAATTGAAGTATTTTACCCTCTAGCTTATTCGGTAGGCATGACAGACATTTAAACCGGTTAGACATTTAGACCGGTGAGACTCCCCAGGGAGTTAGATCGATCCAGATGGATCAATCTAGGTATGGGAACCCAGTCTATGACTAAAAGAGAATAAGGAAAGTGACACTTATCACGTGTAGTAAGATAGTGGTGCATGGAATTTATCAGTATGTTATGACATGGTCCTGGTAAACTGTCGCAGGACTGAATTTATTCTTCCAATTTTTAGGGGGCAACCCAAACCAGTTAATGAGAGTCACTGGTGGCAATAGGAAGATGACAGAAATCTTGGAATGAAAATGAGAAAATTGAGACTGAATAGTACCATTTGGTGACATCCTCACTCTTTTTTTTCAGTTTTTATATTGACAGAAATTGATTCTCTGTATAACTTTTTATAATGTTATAAGTTCTAGGTGGGATATGTTAAAAACTGTTGATAAAAGTATGCCAGTAGAGCTGTATTAATTTTGGAGGCAGATGCAGATACCTCTGTACGTCACTGTATTCAATAGGAAGGGCTATTAGACTTGGATGTGGGATAATTCACGGAGTTATGTGGCAAGGCATGTATGAAAAATTTTAAATGCTATTTAGGTTTTGAAGTGACCTATTGGTTTCTTAATGCTATACAATTCAAAAATAAAGGGAAACTGCCAAAATTATATATAGCTTAAAATGATGTGTTGTAAATTGCTGATTGAATTCTGTAGTGCAAATTGGTAAATGTGTAGAAAAATATTGTATCCGGGAAACACATCAACATCAGACTTTTGCTTAAAGAATTTGGGCATGCTCTCCATCCTCCATTTTGACCGTCCTCCGACAGAAAAAATTAGATACCGTCAATGTAAACTTGAAAATCTGACCGTCTTCCGGAAGACCCAGAAGACCCTGGCTCTCAAGCCGCCTTCCCAGGTACATTGTAATATACAAATACCCAGTTTGCTGGCTAAAAAAAGAACACAGTTTTTTGTTTTGACCACAGTGCTTCTACGGGCCTAAAAACGCACCCGATAGCAATCATTTCAACAGCTGCGGGAGTAAGTTTGTGATATTTGCTTTTGTAAATCGACTTCCTCACCTTAAGTCCATTACACTGTAGGTCGTTTGGGAAAATACGTCTTGAATTGAAAATGCTATTCCATTTTTGCGAGTGAAAAATACCTATATTAGGAATGCAATAAACTAATTACAATAATTATAATTACTTCTGGTTCCGCCAACTTCATATTCCGTGCCATTGTGTTATAGTTTAAATTTAGAGACTGGACCCTTTTTCCTTTCAATGTTATTAGCTGACTAGCCAATACAAGCAGTCAAACTGACGGTTACTCTCTTGTGACCTTGGCCGTTATTATTTTACACAAAGCAAAGGAAAGCTTGGAGAGTGCTTATGGACATTTCAAATGTATTAAAAATAATTAACGGACCCAAGGTGGAAGTACCAATAGATAGTTTCACAGTAACTTCATATTAACCAAGCCCATCCACGGTAGTTACATGAATGCAGACGGATGTAAAGATGTAATTCAATTTTGACTGCTTGTCTTGCTGATATTGTGAGAGTAAATTAAAATGAATTAAAATGTTTTCCCAATTTCTTGTGCTTCTGCTGACAATTCAGAATAAATAAGATATCGAACTGTCTGTCTTTCTATGCATTTTGTGTGTTGAATGTATCCAGTAGTGAACTGGATGGCGATATGCACCAGTAACAGTGTGTAAACCTTCCTGTAACTGACAATACCAAACATTAATTTTTCATAGCATCGATATCATCTCTTTGAAATGATTGAATGATCAGAACCATATTTAGCACTCTTTGGAAGAGATCCTTTAGAATTGCATTACAATGAATCGTTTAAACTTTTCTAAGTGCCGTATTAGTTTTTCTGTCAATGGCATTAATCCATATATTTCAAGAAACATGGACTTCGTTTCAAATTGTTATGATAGAATCATACAATAGTAGTTACAAAAAAGAGTGTTTCAACCTAATCACACACTGAGTGTAAGTGGTTGTCAGTACAACGTCATTGCAAACAGTGTTTTTGTCACTGATCGAGTTTATGCCCCTATTTCACACAGACCACGAATCGCCATGAATTGACAAATTTCAGGATTCGTGGTTGAATCGTAATCAGTTCGTGTAGTTCTTAACACATACATATATAATCGTAGTCAGTTCTTGCAATTCTTGATCAATCGGGATTTCGTGGCAAAAATTTTGAGCTGTTCAAAATTTTGGCCCCGAACTCCCGATTCCAAAAAATCGTAGTGAATTTCTGGACAATATTCGTGCGGTTCCAGCCGAATCTCACGAATATTAGTAACACAATCGCACCTGTATTGTAACTGAATCGTAGAGCGTGTCGAATTAGACCAGAAAATTGGCAAAATCTCACGAATCCTCACGAATCCTGAAATTTGTTAATTCCTGGCGATTCGTGGGATTCGTGGTTTGTGTGAAATAGGCTCATTAACGGAATGTCAGCTTAGTTCTGTACGTGCCCAGCAAACACAAAACGTTACTATAACGTCACCTTAACGTAAATTTTACCAAAAAACGTTATGATCACGTTATGGTAACGCTATAAAACGTTCTGTGTTTGGTGGGTGGAGGTCGTTTCTGGTTTCAGACTATTTTACTCCCAACTAAAAAAATGAAATGTACAATAAAATAAAGTTAAGTGCAAGAAAACAACCCACTAGCAAAAACGAGTTTGAGACCCTGCGCATAATTTAGAAATCGACAAAGAAAGGTGGTCAGATCGAGATTCGCAGGGAGGACCGTTTGCGTCAGATGAAAGAAGAGATAAAAATTCCACACATGTTCACATGCTTAGGAAATCTTACAAATGCATTAATTAGTCCGTATGCACAAGTCATTTCAACGTGTATGCGATTACATCTATATACAGTCTGTCCGGAGATCTGGCATATCAATGCGTAAGCGGTGATTATTACAAAAAATCCTACGCGCTTGCACAAAATAGTCTGCGACGTGTGTTTCGCGCCATATTTTGCAAAATCCATATATGTTATGAAAATCCATGAAACTCTGTGAATAGCCCATTATTCCGCTCGAAACTTTCAAAAAATAAAATTTAGAACTTGATGTAAACGCACAATGTAAAATGAACATTTCATTTCCGTGGAAAAATTTGTATCAGCTGTCTAAAAATAGCACACGCGTTTTTCCCAAGGTGACCTTGGAATTTTTTACCCAAAAATGAAATGATTGCAGAAAAAATGGACAAACCTAATTTTTTGATATTATAATGATTTGTGAAACTATATATGCTCAAATTACACCACGAAGAATAATTTTTTTGTGAAACCTTCCTTCTTTGTAAAATCTCTACTTTAGTGCGAATTATGTAGGTCAGTCGAAATTGGGACTGTCACGTAGCACTGATCAAGTGACTCGAGAGCGTTTTTCTCGGTAAATCTTGCATTTCGGTTGAAAATATGGAATGTTCAGCTTTTCAAGTGTATATATATAGTATACAGTGTGTCACTGTCATAGTGAGAGCTGTTATGGAAAACAATACATGAAGAAACGACATCGGTGCTGCAGATAGACCATATCGCTGCCATAACATGGGTTCAGACTGGAAAATTATGCCGTTTGCCTTTCAAGTTATATAGCTTTGGGTTTGCAGACTAAAAGGTGAGTCTTTTTTGCATTTACTAAGTTTCATAGAAGCGCCGAAATATATAGAAATGATTTTGGAGTAACCTCCCTTCTCATAGTTCAAATCATAGAAGTAGAGAAAATGCACTTGTTGACGTTCAGTACTAGTGAAATGTTACATTTTGTTGCAAAGTTACAGCTGTACTTTGTTTACATAAAGTGTGTACTTGCGTACCTTTATCCGTTCTATTTCCTTTATGGAGTTGGAATCTAGACCTTTTCCAAAATAGGGTGTGTGTGTCTATACACACCTGTTAACTAGCACATTGCGCAATCAGCATTACAGGTGTACTAAAGGTCTTTCTTGGGCAGGTTCCAAAGTTGTTTTACATTATAAGTTTAAATATTGTGTTTTTTTTTTTTTTACAATTTTTCTCAATTTATCTGAAATTGTTGGTATTAAAATAAAAGTAAATGAAATAAGTTTAAATTAAATTAAACGAGTTTTTAAAAAATAGTTTGTCAAGGCACAGCCACACTTTATGACCAACGCACACTTTATGACCTATGCAATGTGCTTTTTCAGTTTTAGTGAAATGCTGACAGCATACAGGTCTATCCCTGCCTAAGCTATAGCATGAGAATGGACTTGATGGCATGAAATGAAAAGATACCAGTTAGAAGGTAATTAAGTTTTTATCAAAAAAAAAAAGAAAAAAAAGAAAGTCAATACTTCTGTATTTTTTATAACTGGCCTATTACTATAGTAGGACCAAGGAATTATTAATACCATATAGTATTTTGATAAACAACTGGTGTGAGACTGACAATGAGGTGATTTTTTTTTTTTTAATCTATAGATTTTTCATTAAATTTCAGTTTTTATCTGCTTTGTATAAATTTCTTGTTTCTACATGTATGATTTTATCATTATATTATAATTATTTTAACAGATTCCTGAATTTCATATCAATAAGGGAAGAGGTGTTCTAGTCAAGACCAGGGAAAATTTATTTCCACACAATTTTGTGTGATGGTGCTGTTGATGCAGGTGTGACTGAACCCTAGAAACCTTTCTCATAGCAGACAAGTTCTGGAACATTATTTTCTTCCAGTATTAAACAGGATGGGCTTTGACCCAAAAGACTTCCATTGAGAGTGGCCTGCCTTTAAAGAGTACATAGGTGGCAGGTTTATAGTGAATTAAATATATATATAATATTATAGTGAATTTAAAAAAAAGATGTGTACCGATTTGTTTCAAGGCTAGGAGACCAGACAAAGACTAGAATACATACAATAATGCTAACTGAAATTGCCTTGTTCAGCCTGTCTACTTCTCAGATGGAGAGAGGATGCAGTGCTCTCAAAAGAATCAAATCTGACTGGAGGTCAAGTTTGGGGAATATTATGCTTAAGTTAACAAAATTTTGACGGCAGTTTTAAGGGGCCAAGTTTTGATGATCATTTAGTCAAGGAATCTATCAACCACTGGGTGGCAGGGAAAACAGCACAATTTTGAACTTTGATATGTATTTAATTACAAATTATATTCAAGAATTTTCAGCTGGGGAGGATCTTATTTGTATGTCAGTTTGGGCTAAAGTAATATTCATAACTTGATGGGGCAGGTGCTTCTCCTGCCCCCAGAATAGACAGATCAAGTTGGCCAAAGAGTTTATTGCAGCCTTGTTAACTGCTTTGATTTAAAAGGCAAACTTTGAAAAGTTCAGTGCATATTCATGAGGCTGAATGAACATTTCCCAGGAACAGTGTTTTAGGACACGAGTTTACTTAGTTTTGTTTATTATACAGATTTTAATATTTTGCATGTAAATTTCAATAGATTAGGGATTTTTTCAAATTATAATTGGAGGGTCTCATTTTAAATAGTTTAATATGTAAGAGACAAAAATAGTACTAGTACATAGAAATAAATCTTGAGCAGTAAAATAAGAGAACAAGGCATAAGTGCAGATCTTATAGGCCTGATGAATAAACTGGTGATTTTTTTTATTATCAAAACCCTTTCAGGCTTTAAAAAGTACAACCTCATTGTACAGTAAATATATATCCAAATAAAAAAATCGTGTTTTATTTATAACTAGATCTAGCAATATCTTCCTATATTAGTCAAAATTCACACTGGATTTCTTGTGGAGTGGATCATAACTATACCATTTTTGATGTTTTCAGAATGAAGCATTTAACTCTTGGAATAAATCTGATGTTTGCTGTACAGTCCTTGTTCGTATTTTTATTTTCATTGTAATCTGTTTGCTCTGATATTCAGAATATTTAAAAAGAACTTGTAGTCTTTCTAAGTCGGGTCAGTGCTTCAGGTTGGTCACGTGACGCTATAAATTATGACGAAAATGGGGTTCCATTTTTGTCGTCGTTTTGGGGATTCACTTATTTCCCCACACAAAATGGGTAAAAATTGTAGGAGACATACCTTATAATATAGCATTTGAAAGTTTATGATCTCGTCTTTCTGCAAAATATAATTGTTTGAAAATATTTTGCGTTTCCTGCGATACATAATCACAGTAACCTACTGCACTTGAAATAATAGGTTTTGCCAACTTTTACACCGACTTCACGGGATTATTAACACTTTGCCAGCCAGTTGGGACCCGAACACAACATATATTTAATATCAACACGAAGCCCACTTGTTTAGCTTTTAGAATATATGTAAAACGCTGGTGAAATAAACATTGTAGTAATTTTGTAATAGTTGAAACGCACTAGTGTGACACGCTTCAGAAATGCGAGTGCTTGGCGTCGATTTCACCTCGCGCTAAAAAATATGAACAAAGCTGAATTTACAAAACATATATACTGCTAGAAACCCAGCTTAATTGGCTTTCATGATTTAGTTTTTAAAAAATTGTGAGATTTCAAATTCTTACAGAAATCTTTAAATAGAAAATTGCGGACACCTGAAACGGGGCTCCATTTGCAATCACCCGCGTGGATAAATCTCCCATTTTACAGTTCTAAATCTATTTTTTATGACAACTAACCTTAAAATTCCAAATCCCTAGACATTCCCGCTTCCTTTTATATACATATCGTTTAATCACATCAACAGTTGACAAAAATACACATGAAAACAAGAAGAGATCAAAAGTCGTCCATTTTCACTCGATTTTGCTGAAAGTAGTGCGGAAATGGCCGTCGCTTCAGTCAATGTGCACGCGCAGCTCGGAATCTCCGGACAGACTGATAGTTATACGTGAATGATTTTGAGATGGACTATCAGATGTCTGGGAGGATAAAAATGTACCAGATGAATCTTATTTTCTTAAAGGCTTTGAAACACGTTTAAGGGACAATTTTTATTCAAGAAATTCGTGAAACAATACAAAAAGCATCTAAATGTTTACTGTATAGACACTTGACGGATATTTTCGACCTACAAGGCTATCTAGGAAAAAATCTCTCCTTTAAAACTAGACAAATTATATGTAAGTTAAGAATGTCAGATCATAAACTCACGATTGAAAAGGGGAGATACCACAGTGTTCCGAAAAAAGATAGAAAATGTATACTATGTGACCGAAATGATATAGAGGATGAGTTTCATTTTGTCTTTATCTGCCCATATAATAATAATAATAATAATAATAATAATAATAATAAATTTATTTTAAGTCTAAAATCCATTTAAAATGTTCAGTAGACTTTACATAAAATATCATAAATAATACTACATAAAATATCATAAATAAAATCTAAGTAAAACAGCCATTATTCCATACAATTAAATGCAATTAATACAAAATTTATAAAACCAATTAAGAGTTAATCAAAATATTTCCTAAAAAGGTATGTTTTGAGTTCTTTTTTGTAGTGACTTGAGAAGCAAATATAATAAAAAGTATTACTGGCAGAAGCCCTAGGTTTTTAAATTAATACTGTTATTTGGAAGTCATAACCTAACAGAAAATAGAAATCTCGGAAAAATTTTATTACAGGCCTGAAAGCGCAGGGAAATTACATGTTAAGAACTACATATATACATGTATATATACGAAAGATATAAATATTATACTTGACGTACTGGCAATGTGTTATCTTCATTCTCATTTATTTATTTTATTGTGATTAACATTATTATGATGTACTACATTTTTACGACGAGAAATTATATGCAACAACTCGTAACAACTTCCTATGTTTACACAATAGAAATATTTCTGATACCATCTAAAATACATTGCTTTATAAAGCCTTAGTACAGTGATGAGAATAAAAAATAAAGGCTATGGATGAGTTCGCAAATGTTCAAACATTTGGTATTGACTTGGCAAATCAAAAGCTGCTAAATATTTAATGCAATTTGTGAGGCAGACGCTGTAGCCCGCGTCGTAGTCCGAAAACGTTTACTATGATGAAAAAATGTTTAATTAATTAATTTATTTCTCTAAACTAAATTTGCGGTGAGAGTCACCTTCAAATCGTTCCTGTGTACTTTACAGAAGCAACCGTCATCTACATTTACACGGCGAACAACAGAGTATTACAACATACACTGTAGCCTTATAATCGGGTAGTTAAAGTAGTAGTGGACGCCGTGATTGGAGTTGCGGTCACATTTTGTCTGCTTAAGCACTGTCCATCATTCCCAGAACCGCTAGCTGGGGTTTCAGCGTTCAGACGACAACAAAAACACTCTTTGAAAAGTTTCACCAACTCGTCCCGAAATACTTGAGCCGCAGCAACAAAAAGAAAAAAGTTAGTATTGTGATTCAGCAATCTTACCAGGAACAATATAGACCGTATGTACATGATCTGGACAAAGCGTTCTTTGAAACTGGCACTTCCTATATCGAATACGATTACAGTTTCCAAGTAGACGTCAACGATAAAAATGGGCAAAGTGAGCAAGATAAATGCTGTCAGTGTCGTTAACAATAGAATATTGACTTTGGTGTTCCTGGTTCCACTGCTATCACCGTGCTGCTGATGACCAGCCAGTTGATGTCTTACGGAATGGATCTTCCTAAGTTTATACACAATGGCGACCGTCATCGCTGTAATGGCTATTGTGATTACGAACCACACCACAAACGTTGCATACTTAAAAACGGACATAAAATGAAATGCTGTTTCTCGATTTAAATAGCAAATTACTATCAGTGGAGAACATAATAATAAAACCAGAGGAATAGGAACAACAGAAGTCAGCAAAGCCTTTCGTCTCGTGCACAGAGAAGCTGCTTGCAGAGGTTTGAAAATCATTATAAGTCTCTCTACGGTTAACACCAATATGTAATATATGGAAAGGCAATAACATGTCAACTGTAAAACATTAATAGCCTGCTTTACCTTGCACGAAGGTGTCAGACCTGTTCGTTCATCAACAAAGATGCAAAAGAAAGATAGGAACGACAGACGTAACTGATCCGCACCGGCAAGGAACAGAATATAAACGAAGGTGGATTTCTGTCTAAGACCCAGACTTCGAAGAACCACCAGGAAGGTGAAAAAGTTACCAAACAGGCCGATGGATGTCAGGATGTGCACAGTGTTACACCAACATTTCTTCGACTCCATCCAGCAGTTTGGCTCTGGGGATAGCACGGTATAGTTCAAGTCGTCCGAATCGTACCTGCTAATATTTCCTTGGGAGACGCTGGTGCTATTAAAAAATCCAACATCGTTTTGATAGTCAACCTCATGCATTGTTATTATGTCGTCTTCGAGTTTATTCTATTCCCGTTGGTAGTCACCAATACAGTACTAGCTGTTCAGGAAAAGATGACAAACTAAACGCAGGTAGTGCGAGTATATCACCAATATCCAGTGTACCTTATTTTATCTGCAAATAAAATCTCTTTCCGACTGGATGGAGAATTGCTCCAGTAAAAGGGTGTCACTGACAATAGAAAATATTAAATTTTCATTTCGTCATCGCTCTCTCCTAATTGATGTATCAGTTTTTCTGTCAATGGCATTAATTT